ATATATGCATATAGAAAAATAAAGACAAAGGATGGGTAGAGACACATGTGAGTCAAAGGGGAGAGAAATAGGACATGAATGAGAGTGGGCCGGAAGTCACTCGGTACATCGCCTTCCAGAATGACCAACAGTAACTCTGTTGGGGTTAAAGAAGGACGGGAGAGCAATGTTTTCTCTCTCTCTCTCTCTCTCTCTCTCTCTCTCTCTCTCTCTGTCCCCCACCCCTTTCTCGTATCCTCTCATCTCCACTGCTCTTGTGGCCCTATATAACCTCTGACACAGACCCTCTCCCCAACACAGGCTCCTTGTGTTTGGTGGAGAGGAACAGCAGGTGTCAGAGTGAAACAGAGTCAGATATATATTTCTTTGATTTTTTGTTAAGTTTGTACACTTAGTATTTGTGCACTCTGTCCATCTGAGCTGACCTGGAAAACCAAAACATTCAGATTCAACAGCAAAACCCGCAGCGTTTTGATTTGAAGTCATTCAGGATTTCCCATCAACAGCCAGGCGAACATGACGAACAAGACGGGTCTCATCCTGAAGGTGGCCTTGCTGCTGCTGGTGCTGCTGCAGGGCACAGGTAAGATCTGTTGACACTATTAAGATTTTGGAACTACAGACAGTGTTGTAGTGACATATTTTGATACACAATGCATGGCTGAAGTATTGAGACTTGGAGCGAAAAGTAAGTTTATGCTGCTGTGTAAGCAGGGAATAATTACGGAAATAACCAATATCTGACTCTGACTCCTCCTCCATGTCTGTATAAACAAGGAAAATACAAGTTTCAGTTAGTTTCTGTCTGTTTAAACAGATTGAAAAAGATATGTAACATTCCCATAAACAGTTGACACCTTTCTGCAGCTGAAAAAGCTGATGAATTAAAGACTTTTTTTTTTCAAAAAAAATTGTGTGCTATAAAATGTGATATGGCACCTTAAAAGACCAACAAAATAATTACCTTGAAAAAAATGTGAAATGTAAATTGCAAATTAAAGTAACTATTACATTATGGGATAAGTTTTGTTCATGTTTTCACATTAGATTATGGTGCATCAAACCTGCAAAAAAAATGACAAATAGCAATAATCACTGCTCTGTGATGCTAAAGTTGGCTAGTTTAGCAACAATGTAGAATTTACAATGTTAAATGAATCCGTTGTGCCATCAACTTAAACTTTGCTCACCCACAGAGCATCAGCTGGTGATACATAATTGTGTAATTGAGAATTACTGGGTTTGCCTCTAAATGTGTTTGGTGAAAAGCAGAAACAGGTGCAAAAGAAAAACTCTTCTTCTCTCCTCCTCTAGATGCAAAGATGGAAATCATGACTAGTAAGCAAGATTTCCTCGTCGGAGAAGAAATCATTCTGGTGTGTAAAAGTGAGTCATTTCAGTTTCATTTAATGACTATTGAAACTTGTCTATTTGCATTACATTTTCCAGTTTGAACCTAGAACCTTCAAAGTATTAACTTTCATTCTGTCTCTGCCCCCTCTGCTTATCTCATCCAGTCCTGACTGGAGAAGGAGAAATCACATGGTTTAAGGATGGCACGGAAATCGATGATAGCGACATGGTGAAACATGTGGATGAAACTGTCTCTAAATTGGTCATTAAGAAGGCTACAATGAAAGATGCAGGCAGATATACCTGTATGTGTGAGTTAAACAGCGGACCCATAGATGAAGCTCTGACACAGATTTATGTTTATGGTACGTACTGGTAGTTGTTGATGAACCTGTCTGGTGCAATAGAACTTTATTTAGTTAAAGAATACAGATTGGTAACATTTGATTGGTAACATTGACAAACCAAACCTTCTTTTGATGATATTGTTCATTTGTATTGCATCAAAAGTAAGCATCCCAATCTTCTCCTCTTTTGTCAGAGGCTCTTTCATTTGGAAGTACCCCCAGCTACCATGAGTTTCTGGAGGGCACAGATGGTTTGGTGCCATGCATGGTGACTGGCAAGCCAGTGGTGGATGTTCACTGGCTCAGAAACAAAGAAGAAATCTCCACTAATGGTAGGAGCAGCACCCTGGGACACTTAAAGCTCTCCTGCAGTTTGAAGAATAATTTTATGATTTACACAAAACTTCACACATTGTGTAAACTGCAGCTGCAGTGGTGTGACTGAATTTTAGACTTTCATTCAGAAACATAACTTTCTTTTCTGTCTTTCTGTGTTTGCCTGTCTTCACCTCTTTCCATCACTCTTTGTATCTTTTCCATCACTTGCTGTCTGTCTCTGCATTTCTGTGCTCCCATCTCCCACTTCAGCAGGAAAGCGTGTGCGTCAGCTGCCTGATAATACACTCCTCATTGAGAATGTGAAGAGAGAGGATGCTGGGACATACTATTGCCAGGCCCAGATCAGAGGAAGGCCCATTAATGAGCAACTCCCCATCTCTGTTGTCGTCAATGGTCAGTATATTTTTCACATCTAGACAGTGGTCAGTGGTTTGAAAGATAATATATGACACAAAGTTCCACAGGTGTGGATTTCAGGGTAGAGCGGGGCACATGTCCCCCTCAGTATTTAGAACATGTGTATTTGTCTCCCTCAATAAAAATCATGACAGTAGCAGAGGACTTTTATTTTGAAAAAATGAAAGACATGAACTCCATTGATGCAGAAAATGTACAAATTGGTGCACAAAAAATAACCAGAATGCAGGAAATATTTGATTTTCAAGCACTTGTGAGGGAGGGACCCCAGACCCCCTGTTTCATGAGCCCCCCCCAACTGTTGAAATGAAACCTACACCCTTGTAACGTTCCTTTCTTTCTTGCAGAACTTGTGTGTAACATAACACGATGGCACTTATCCATTATGGTTAGCTATGCCTTACTGGCTAGGCACAAACAAATTTAGCATTTTACTTCGAGTTTTAATTATGCCATGACAAATCTGACGTGTAAATGAAGCATCATTTTAAATAAAATACATGTCCCTCCTGCAGTTCTTCCATCTGTGCGACTGAGAGAAGAAGTGAAAAGAGTGATGGCCGGACCAGAAGCCAATGTTTCGTTGCTGTGTTTAGTAGACGGTGTACCAAAACCCAACATCACCTGGACCATGTAAGTCCTCGCTTACAGAAAGTTGGTCACATCTTTTTAGTATCTCCATAAAAGGCACATTATGCATGAGTGTATTGATAATGTACACATATAATGTGGATGTTATTTAGTACCAGTAGTTGCTCTGTTAGCTTTTGCATTGTACTTCATTGCTTTCCTTCATGTCAGCTGACTTTTCCTACACTTTTTTAAATTATAACCTTGTTTGGGACAATCAACCATCAGTAAATTAATTGGGTCATTTTGTGTGAATATTTACACTATTGCCCTCCACTCTCAGTATTGCTATTGTAGAATGACATCTGGTGTGCCAGTGGGTGGAGCAATGTGCATGTGTGTCCAAAAAACATCTCCTTATCAGCTTTGTTAATGGTCTGTGGCATCATCTCTCCCTTCTCCTAATTTTGAATCCATGTGAATAACAAATCCTTACAGTATTACTCACTGTGTTTTTCGCTCTGCCTGTCTCCCTCCCAGGCCAGTAGCATATGACCCTTCACATCATCAGTTTAACTCAGACCGCAGCCAGCTGACCATACGGTCTGTTGCCCGGGTCGACTACGGAGAGTACATCTGCACCGCCACCAACAAGATAGCTGAGAGCAGTGCTACTATTTTGCTTCATGTTTTTGGTTAGTTCAATTTCATTTTTTTACACCTCTGAGACTGATAGCTCCATTAGCTCACTGAAACACGACAACCGGGACAACAATATAACAAGCATGTGAAAGCACCGCCACTCTTACTGCTGCTACGCCCTTGTATCCAATGGTTAAAAACAAGGGGCACGTTGAATCTCAAAATGGTGTGTGTCTCTTTGTTATTGTTTCCGGGTTGAACAACACGTTTCTTTGAATCAGTGTAAAATGGGCTTTGAAGTCCTTTTTTTCTCTTGTTGGGTGGGTGTGTCATAGGTGTTAACCAATAAGCAGCAACATGTATAGAAACCAAATTCTACTTTATTTCATACCTGCTTTGGCAGTGAAAATATATGTTTCTTGTGCCAATAAAGCCCCTTTGAATTTAACTGAATTAAGAGACACACAATGGGGTGTTCAACGCACCACCGTTTCTGTTTAAATAAATGTTTGGCTAAATTTGGCTACAATCAAAAGGTCGAGTCTGAGCAGGTGCAGGTATTTAGTGGTGATGAGTCAACATATAGAGCTGCTGATTGAAGCTAAGAATGATATTATGAATGAACCTGCTGTTCAACCATTTTGACATATGTACTTTATCCTGTTGCACTATGGTGACATTTAACACGTTTCATTTCAGAGGCTCCAGAGGTGTTTGTGTCAGCAGAGCAGCAGAGTGTATCAATGGGTGAGCGTGTATCTGTGTCCTGTAACGTCTCAGGCCATCCTCAGCCTGAGCTGCACTGGCTCAACAAGAACAATGGACGCACACTGGTAAGCATATATGGGCACATAACACATGCTTACATACACATGCACATACACACAATGTCAGCTGTGTCACAATAAAATTGACACAGTCAGCCTATATGTAAAACATAGTCCTTGCCCATTTTAATCAACAACTTAACAGCAAATTAACAACTGTATAAGCTCTGTGACTAGACAAACACTTGCTATCCAACTCACTGACATATTTGCAGTGTATTGACTTTTAACAGCTACTCCAAAGACAATACATCTGAGCATTTCCAAATTTGTTTGATCCAATCTGTTCCTTCCTCTGTTAGGACTCCACCACCGGTCGAGTCCGTGTCGTTGATGGTGTGTTGGTGATTGATGAGGTAGTGCCCTCTGATGGTGGACTGTATTCCTGCATGGCTGTCAGCATCTCTGGAAATGCATCCAGAGACATTGCAATACACAGTAAGAGTTTATGTCTATCTTTGTGTTTAAGAAAGAAAAGTTCAGTGAAGGAAAAGTAGATTTAATCTTTACCTGTCTGCATACCTCTGACATACTTTTGGCAATTTTTTCTCTCTCTCTTCCCTCCTCCACTCTGACCTGCCTCCTTGTACACAGCCCAGCCTGGTCCACCTCACTACCTGTCAGTCTCACCTGGACCAACTTCAGTCATCTTCTCCCTCAAAACCACACCCATCGATGGAGGGACACCAATCACAAGTTTTGTCCTGCAGTGGAGGCAAAGTGCAGCAGAACAGTGGAAGGAGATCGCAGTCCCAACTTCAGGTAAAATAATGGCTCCTCAGAGAAGCTTTGCAGTTGTGTATCATGACTATCAGGAGAAAATCAGTTAAAATCACACCATAACATTATTCTGTCTTAAAGGTCCTGTGTGTGGGATTTAGGGGCATCTATTGGCAGAAATGGTATATAAAACTATGTTTTCATCAGTGTATAAACACCTGAAAATAAGAATTTGTTGTGTTTTTGTTATCTTAGAACGAGTTGTTTATGTCTAAATACAGAGCAGGATTTCTCCCATATTGTTTCCACAGGAGCCCAGAACAGACAAACTGAACACTGGCTCTAGATAGGACCATTCATGTTTTCGCTTTTTTGCATTGGAAATCATAGTTTTCCTTCACTCTTGCCACACATGAGAAGGTTCAGTTCTGTAACCTCACCACTAGATGCCTCTACATACTACACACTAGACCTTTAAAATACCCAAATGACATTTAATTATGCACAGTAGCTAATGTAGTATCTTTCTGTGTGCTTGCTTTTGTAGGTCCTCTAACTCTCACCAACCTCAAGCCATACACATTGTACACAGTGCGTCTGGCTGCCTTGAATGCCATGGGAGTGGGACAGTTCTCGGAAACAAACACCGTCCGCACCCAGGGAATACGTAAGTGCTATCAACACATCGGCAACATACACTGACAACACACACCATATCAATATTTCAAGCTATGTGTGCAGCTTTAACTGTATATGCAGCATTTGTGTGTCCATATTTTGTGTTTACGCATTTAAATTAATGTATAGTGTGTGTAAATATTCATTTACGCTAGTGTATGTGGTATATACAGTACAAGGCATTTCCTCCTCATCTACCATCACTCATTTTTCTTGTTCATCTTTCATGCTGCCATCATCATAACATTCCCATGACATCATCATCCCCTGCCCGATGCTCATTAATGCTGCTGATGACACCATGTAATCCACTGTCATCCATCCACAGAGGGTAAAGACCACACACTTATCTACTAAACAATAAAAAAATTACTGACATGCTCAGCTAATCTGTATTTAGCCTATATGAATAAAGATAAGGTGTTAGTTATTATTCATAACTCTTATAAGTGGATGTCTCCTGTCTGTGCTCTGTAGGTGAACCAGACAGTCCAGTGTTGTTGTCCAGTGAGATGAAAGTAGAGGGCAACTCCATCTTCATCCCTCTTAAACAGCTTGATGATGGTGGAACTCCTCTGCTGCACTTTCACATGCGATACAGACAGGTAAGAGACGGTATAAGTTTGTCTCTCGTTCTCAATGAATTATTCTTCATAGGTCCTTTTGTTTTTCTTATTGTTATCCTTTGGTCTTCTCCTATGCTGTCTTTTTATACTCTCTCAGAATAAAGAGCGGAGTGAGTGGAAAAATGTGGAGCTGCCATCCGATGCTGACTCTATCTCCCTTCAAGACCTGTCCTACGGCTCAGACTATCAACTGGAACTCAAAGCCATCAATGCTAATGGTTCCTCTATCCCTGCCAGGTTCAACTTCACCATCGCAGCACAGCCTGGTATGTGGCTTCCCATGCCCTAAACCAAATCCAAAACCAAAATCCACCGAGAAAAACATGTTTCTTGCCACAACAAAGACGTTTATTTCACCTTGACTTTTTTATCTCTCCCAGTGAGCAACCGCATGACCAAAGGCAGCGTGATTTCCATCGTCATGGTGATCTTCTTGGTGGTATTCCTGGTGGTAGATGTCACCTGCTGCTACAGAAATCGCTGCGGCCTGCTCATGTCCATTGTGAAACTCTTTGGACAGAAAGTCCCAGGCCTCAAAATGTTTGAAGACGGAGAGGTAGCCACCAATGGGTGAGTAGGTGCTACAGAAGTCTGTGAGAGTATATCCATGCAACATGAATATTTTAACAAAATAGCTTATTTTTGTCTGTCATCAAGTTGCCATCATCATATTTCTTTTGTGTGTCTGCAGAGAAGTGAAGCTGAAGGGTATAACAACTCCAAGAGCCAGTGTGCATGATGCAGGGGTTCAGACACTCACTAGGGACGGGCAGCTTGCAGAGGTCACCTGCGACAAAGCCCCCCTCACCAAACACGAGTATGTTCATTCACTCTCATATACAGCAAACCTACTTATTGAAGAAAACAGATTTGTGTGTTTAAATACTTGTCCAATACTCCATCCATAGACAACTGCAGGAATGAATAGTGAACCAAAGTCTAAGCTTCCATAAACATTTTTCTTAAGTCTGTGCCTGCCCCTCATATGCAGAGCTGATGGCTACATTAATAAAAGTAAAAATGTGCCATGGAACAGAAGAGTTACTGAAATCTCTGTTTGCAGCCTATTATAAGCAAATGTGATGGTCTTGTGAGTGGATTTTGATTGGCTGTCAATCATTCATGAAATAGCTTGGAAAGTGATTCCAGTGACATTGTTTGCCGCGGTCATTTTAGTTTTGGTATGGACTCTACCATCCACTTGAGTTAGTGGGATTTTTAAAAACTATATTTTTATAATTATAGCTACTGTTATAATTATCCTTCAGCCTTGTGTGTTTGTCTTATGGCTATTTCTGCTCATTTAGTCTGTCACATAAAGATCAAATGTATATCACAGAGTAAATGATTGATCTTTTGCGTTTTTTAAATCAACATCTCACTGATGATTTATTTCTTTCCTACAGGAAAAAACTGTCAGGCAGAGACCTGCACTTTGACGATGCATGAGACCAGACACCAGAGAAACAGGAAACAACAAATAAGACAAGTCAACGGACAAGTGATAATGTAAAGACAAGAAGATATCAAACAATCACTGAGTCTTAATAACTGAGTCAGAACAGTCAGCGATCCTTACCTTCAATACAACTTCCATGGGAAAGGTCAATCATTACTGACAGGCTGAGGGAAAAAACTCAGATGTTGTTGAGGTTTATTTAAACTGTTCTGTTTCAGACGTCTGTGCTGTTGGAGTGAGAGGACAGTGGGCTGAAAATCAGCTCGCATAAAGAGCTGTTGTTGTTCTGTGTGCTCTGATGTAGATTAGGTCAAAAGACAAATTTTACATTACAATTTTACAAAAATTCATTTTACAGGGTAATTTTGATGTCTTGTGTTTTACAGGGTAATATTACTGGTGTTATAAATTTAGCTTCAAATATTTTCTAAAAGTCACAACAAATGTTTACCTTCAGCCTTTTGAATGTTGTGCACAGACACAAGATCTTATTTTATATTTACTCTTTGGTAAATGTACCATGGATATCCTGTGTAATGCGCTGAAGAATTCTGTTTTTTACCTATATGTATATATTTTTTATTGTTATTAATGTTTTTATTAACATGCAACGTGGCTGCTCTCCTGATGGTTGTATAAGACTAAACATCTTATACTTTCAGATGAAATAACACTGTATCCTGATACTGACCTGTATTTTGAACCATTTAAAGGACATTTCAGCTTAAACTAAACTTGCCTAACCTTTATTTAATTATCATGCACTAATATTTATTGTTTTTAAACCATACATGAGAGATATTTATCACGAGAGGCTTTGAACTTGAGGCCATATTTGATTTTGTAATCAGCTCTATAAGAACTTTTTTTTTAATTCTCAGCACCTAATTCACGGGAGCATGTAATTAAAAGCAGCTTTTATTATGAGAACCTTCTTTGATGTACCTGTAATAATAGGTGTCATGTAAAACATATATACACCCAAACAAAGTTGACCACTGCTGTAAGTTATTCTGGACTTATTGTCAAATTGAAATTTACAGTAAGTAAACATGTTCAGAGGTGCTGTATGTGACTCTGGAGAAAGACAGATGATTCTTGAGTTTCATTCCCAGGGTGTCAGATACTGATGTTGTTATTTGTCAGCCTAGACTTGACAATCATCCATCTTTCTCCAGAGTTACACACAGCACCTTTCAAGTGAAAATGTTTCAGGTCAAATATTTAATTTACAGCTTTTTGTTTAGAAGATGCTATGCCGTCTTTCATGTTTTCAAGTGACCTGGCCGTCTTATTGAAGTGTTATGATATTGTTGTAATATTGCATTGACCGCTGTACATGGCTGTACATACACATGTTGTTACATCTTTTTGTTTGATAAAAACTTCGACTGTAAAAGAGCTTCATGTCTTTTGTGCTCACGAAATAAATCTTTGTTTTCTCATTTTAATAGCATCTCTGTCACAAACAGTAAAAGCATGAACACAGAATGGTCTTTCATGGCTGAAAAAATCAGAACTACCATCTGTTCAGAGAGCCATGAAAAGAAGAGATTACAATGAAGACTGAATTCATCATACAGGTTTCTAAAATCAACAGAAACTACATCTGTGGGGAGGTATACCCAGGTCCAAGCACCCAACACCTTTACATTTTAACACAGAATTTACAATCACACCCACTGTGACAGGTTTTCAAAGGAGTTTAGATTTTTTTTCTCCTTTTCAACTCTTGTATTTTTCCCAACTGATGTACAGAGTTTTAAGTATAATCTTTTTTTAAAGACATACAACAATACAAATATTTTTAGGGCTTTTATGCTTTGACTTGATTGCCGCTGCAGCAAGGACAAGGCCTTTGTACATGGGGCACCTACTCTACCAGGTGAGCTAATGGGCACCCTAGGTATACTCTTTCAAATGGCATGAAAAAGTGCTTTAGTTATGTTAGGCGGATGGGAAACAACAGGTGTCTGCATGTCAGTGTGATACTGAGTTATAGACATTTGAGGTTAATCTAGCAGATTTAATGTAGATTTTTAAACTTTATCAGATAAACATTTGACCATTCTGTACAGCTGTGTTGAAAACAAAAGTAATCAAACCCAACTGAAAAACTGTGGAGGTGTGAGTTTGGGTTTTGCAGGCTTGGTGTCCTGCCGCTGTGGACATGATGAGCCAATCGGCTCTTATCCTGAAAAAAGAAAATCTAGCTTCTGCTGCTAAATGTGTACAGCACAGGTAAGACTTTAGCAGCAAATACAGTGTTACCATATTTGGTGATATACATCATTGAGCTAAAATGTTGAGCTGTCATCCCTGGCAAAATTGGCTGGTCTTCTAAAGTGTAAGCATGTAAGCATTTCCATGTCTGTATAAACAAGGAAAGCAGTGGTTTCACTTGATTTCTGCATGTTTAAATAGCAGAGAAACCATATTAAAATCAGTTCTACTGCATCAATGATGGTGAGTCAGCTGCTGAACACCACTCAGTCCTCAAGCTGTCTCATGTGTTTAGCAACACCAGGAAACAATGAGCAAAAACAGGAATTCAAGAGGTGAACCTGATCTGGCAGATGTAATACTGAACAATGATGACTTTGACGAATGATAGTGACAAAAAGGTTTGGCCTCTTCCATACGCTCTTCCCCGGGTACTGTGAGCTCCAGCATAATCAGTTGTCTGGTGGAGTCTGAGACAATGATTATGTCTGGACAAAGCCATGTTGGTGTTATTCGGGCTGGGTGCTGTTTTCCAAGATCCAGTTCCAGTTTCCAGTCAGGGGCAGTGGTGAGGGGCCAGCCTCTGCACTGGGTTGTATGTGGGGCTTCTCTCCGGCTTTGAGGAACATGTTGGTCTTTGGCTTGTGGTGGCCCTTGATGGTGTCAATAGCAGTGGCAATGCTTTCAGCAGCTGCCCTAAGTACCTGGTCGTAGCACCAGCGATGCGCCCGTCTACAAGGGCTTTTGGGCAGATGCTAAGGAGATGTTCCAGGTTTCCCTTTCCTGGGCAAGGGGAGCAGGATGATGTTTCACTTTTGCCCCAGACGTGGACGTTTGCAGGACTTGGTAGGGCGTCATAAACAGCTTGGACTTTAAACCTAGTGTGATGGAAGTCTGCTTTCCAGATGTTGGGCCATGTGATCTTTCATTGATATGGATATTCCTCTATCAGGCTATCTGCATTTTCTCTCTTGAAGAATATGAGAGCTTTCGGGACACTCTCCAAAAATGAAATTCCTTAAGTTTTGACAAAATAATCTTTATTACCTTTACTCTCCCAGGTGTCTGAAGACAGACACACTGACTCTTATATGCAGCTGACAAACTATAACACTCCTGTTTTATAAAACAGATGGACATATATGAAGCCTGAGTTCAGTGCACACAAAAAGCATATGAATGCACTGGTGTAGCTTTGGGTGACTGGAAACCTGCACTGTATTATTAACATAAAAGAGATGCTGCCAGTCTTTTGGCTTGTTTTGCTACAGAGATCTCATAATCATCAAATTAAGACTGATGCTGTGCCATTCATCAAAAGTAGTTCTCATAAAAATTTTATTCTTTGTACACCCTATGAAAACTGTCACCCAAAGGTTCAAGCTTTCTCTGTGAATACCCAAGGGTTAATTTGTTTTGCAGATGGGAAATTCAGCATTCCAAAACAAGATATCACAGGAATACAGATTTGAAGAAGCAGTGTGTAAGATATTTGGGGGATTTAGGGGGACTTAGCAGTGAAGATTGCTGATTGCAACCAGCTGAAACTTGTTTGAATTCCTTCAGTCTTCATTGTTCCAGAGGTTTTTACTGGGAGCCAGATTATCCCCATAGGAATCTTCTTCTTCAAAATAAACAGACCAGGCTATTAAAAAACGATAAAAACACTCAATAAAACATTTTCACGTCACAAATCAATGTTTCTCTTACACTTTTCAAGTTGTCGCTGACAGGCCGCTAGCTCAGCACCTTCTAATGTGCGCTCATCTTTTTTCTCTAATAACATAAGAGCTACATGTTCAGGAGGTTTTAGGAGCCAAATTATCTGCAGAAGTCTCCTCCTCTTCAAAACAAACACACCCACTGATTTACAATAATAAAAGTAGTGATTAAAGCAGTTTCACGTTAGAATAACAGTGTCTCTCCAATGATGCTGGCTGCAGGGGTCTGCTAACTACTTCGGCTGAAGCGAAAATAAGAAAACACAGTAACACCAATGATCAGTGTTAGGTTTGTCTGTTTTGGGCTACTGTAGAAACATGGCGGTGCAACATTGCGATCTCCGTGGCCGAGGCTCATTGTAAGGTAACAAAAACACAATGATTCTCATATTCAGGTGATTATACACTAAAGAAAAGATTTTTATATATTAGAAATTGTATCAAATTTCTGCCAATATATTCCCCTAATTACTACGCTGGACCTTTAAAGGACATTAAAACAGTACCATGTAGTATCCATTCATATCTCTGTGTGTAAATGAGTGTTGATGGTGGGGTGGGCCTTGTGTGTACATTTAGATCACAGATTGTGCCTTTAATGGTTCTTGGGGATCAAAGTGATAAACCAGGACTCTGACTCCAGTGTAAACAAAATGTAAACATGCAGAATCGGTCCAGACAGAATTGTTTCATTTCAGACCTTTCAACTGGTTTCCCAACTGTTCATGAGAGACACAGTGCGTCAGGAAAATGACTTCAGGAGTAAATCCAACAACCCTGGATACCAACAAGTGGGCCAGGCAGCATAGTTAATGCAAAATAGCAAACAAGGCTCCAGGTACCCAGGAAGAGGTGCTGAAAGCTCACCTCCAAACTGCAGAGCAGCACATTGCCTGTCAGGAGGAAAAGATAAATGAGCTTGCCACCAGGCTCGAGACAGAGATGAAAGAGAACAAGGTCTTGCAGAAACAGGTGGAAGATTTGATCAATGAGCTCCGGAGAGAAAGAGCTGAGAGACAGCATGAGCAGGACCTGAAAACAAGACTTGAGCAACAGACCTCAGCCAACCAAGAGCTGACCACTAAGCTCAAAGAAAGAAAAAGAGGCAAGTAAGGCTCTCCAGGCAGAAATTACCATGCTCAAAGAAGAGATAAAGGAACAGCAGGAGAAGACCCTGGTTGCTTTAATGGTCAAACTCCTGGTAGAAGAGGAGGTCTGTGTGGACAAGGTCAAGCAATTAATTTTTTTGTCACATATCATATGAATACAGTTTCAGTGAAATGAAATTTGTAAATTCCATCAGTTTGCACATTTAAAACATAGTAGTAATAATAATAAACACATGTAGGCAGGGGGATCCTTCTGACCCGAGGGTAGAAGCTCTTTCTGACTCTCTCAGTGCTAGCCGGGTGTATTTGGTACTTTCATCCTGACCTCAACAGGGAGAAAAGGCTTTTATCCTGGTGTTGGAATCTGTAATGATTTTCCTGTCTTTATTTTGCAGGTCCCAGAGAAAAAAAAGAACAGTTCACAGTAGAAAAGATTCTGCCACTTCTTTGATGTGAGGCGGAGATGGAACAAAGGCAGTAGTCCACATCCATCTGAGACTCCTACACCACAGCAACACAGGACCTTCCCGTCTCAGTAACAGTAACAGAGTGCAGGGTGGCACGGAGGCTCAGTGATCAACACTGCGGCCTCACAGAAAGACCCAGCTGAACTCTTTCTGTGTGGAGTCTGCATGTTCCTCCCCATGTCTGTGTGGGTTTCCCCCAAGGATGTTGGCTTTCTCCTACACACAAATGACATGGGGAAAACTGTAAATATGGGCGGCAGTAGCTCAGTCCATAGGGACTTGGGTTGGGAACCGGAGGGTCACCTGTTCAAGTCCCCGTCCAGACCAAAATATGGAGCATGGACTGGTAGCTGGAGAGGTGCCAGTTCACCTCCTGGGCACTGCTGAGGTGCCCCTGAGCAAGGCACTGAACCCCCAAACTGCTCAGAGCGCCTGTCATGGGCAGCCCACTCTGACATCTCTCCACTTAGTGCATGTATAGGTCCAGTTTGTGCATGTGTGTGTTCGGACCTGTGTGTAATTGACAAACAGAATGAAAAATTGAATTTCCCCTAGGGGATTAATAAAGTATTAGTAAAAAAAATTAAAAAAATAACTGCCCCCAATTATTTAGCATGCAATAAAGAGACAATAAAAAGCATGTTAAAATTAAAGCTCTGTCTGTATTGTTGTGTTTCTTGGTAGTTAGTTGTATAGTTGTGTTATTAAGTGGTACTACAGCTAACACTGTATACTGAGTGTTACAGGACAGCTGGACAGTTGGAGACAAACTTTGGATAGTATACACCAGATATGCCCATCTTCACCTGCAGCAGATGTCATGCACAAACCTTTATGTATTTTGGGTTTGGGGGTCCCCTTTTGTAAAGTGCTTTCACACATTGGGCCACGTGTCACACATCGGGACAATGATGGAATTTAGGACGAGGACACGTCTCCCATAATAGCCAATGGCAGAGAACATTTATTTTGCTTTAATTTCTAATAACTGCGACTCACAGCCAAGACTGTGCCGCTAGCCAAGAAGGTGATGCCAGTACTCAAAAGCAATCTGCCATGAAACAGAAAGAAGATTAAGCAACTATGTACAGACGAAGCAGAAGTACCATGACATTTTCACCAACAATTGATGAAGGCACAAAATATCATAAAAATCAACAGAATGCAGGAATTCAGTGCTTAATGCTCAAAACTTTAAGTCATGCAAACATGCGACGCACATACCACGAGAAAAATGAATTTGATAATGAGGTAAAGTCCTGCATAACAGTCTCTATAAAGCAGTCTTGTGCTTCAGTACAACAGTGACAGTGTGCAGAGATGTTGAGTAGCAGTTCTATGTGCCTCAGTGCTGTGTCACTGACTCTTTGGCCCCGCCCCCTGCCTGATACGCTCCTGCTGACTAGTAGCACATGACCAGGCGTGTTTACACCTGCAGTGACAGAAGGACATACAGCGCCAACACTGACTGTGCCACTGACAGGGACGCCTATTGTTTAAACCGAGATAAGAAGCCTAATTGTCGTGAGAGGTCATTGTATAGCGGTCGCCCACCGGGACTCGGTAAGTTAGCCTCGTTAGCAAGGCTGTTGTTTTCCTCCCGTCAGTGATGTGAGGACGCTGTCGGCTCTTCCGTAGCAGCTGCTGCTAGGTTAGCATGCTAGCGTGTGTCAGTGGGTTAGCTCGCTGCTGCAGCATCACCACCCAGGCTGGTTAAAGCCAGAAATTCAGTTATGACGCCAGCTACAAAGAGCCTGACGCTCAAGGTTTAACCCGGCTAACACTGTAACATTTGTTGCTTTTAATGCCATCTGTACGTAGCTTCGTAATCTCAGAAGTCACTGTTAGCTAATTCGTGTTGGATTCAGTTGGTGGTTGTCATAGTAGCTACAGAGGTGGCCTGGGCAGGTAGCTAAAGCGAAGGAAACTGATGTGACAAGTAGATATTAAAGCAGGTTCAGGTAATCCAGATAGACTGCAAATGTTTTTGGTTGGCGAGAATAATGTTGTCTTAATATTAGCCTTACTGAGGCTGCTATAGAGGTCTGTGTGCCAGCTGTATCCCATCATGCCTGTCATGTTAATTAACCGCTGGGTCTGTGTCAGTCATGTGAATGAGAGAAACTGAATGAAGCTAAATCAAGACTGTCTTCAGAGAGCTCCTGTGTTCTGATGTGACAACCAAATCACTTATTGTAGCCAGATATATACAGCTGAGCAGCCAATATTTGCACCAGGCATGAGGGGGATGTACATTTGTAATATTTTCAGTGAACTGGGATACTGAACTTACTTTGCCTTGGAGCCACTTTTGCTGATTGAAAGGAGACCAAGGGCTAGTTATTAAACAAACATCATTAATATTTATCAGTGTATTTAATAAGGGATCTGCCTGTTTTCAACCTTTCACCATTTGCTGTTCTCACTCATCTTCACCAAGAAGTAAATCCAGCGGTAGCATCCCTGCACAAGTCAGGTGTATGTTGGGGTATTTATAGGGTTTGAGGACATTCAGAGCCGTACATCTGTCCAGGAGGCCATGGGATCCTCCCCCTGTGGCACAAGAAGTATTTCCCCATATAACAGATCACCGTTATAAAAGGGAAGTCTGTAAAAATGTTGACAGGACACCTTGAACTTCAAACAAGGGCAATTATTGCAGTCTGTATTATGATTTTTTTCATTATGATTCATGGAGGTTTTATACTAGAAAAATAATATAAGTGTATCTGTGACATCATCACATCATAAAGTCTATGGGCTAAGCGAGAGAAACACTACTGCGCGTATTCAGTAGTTTGCCCACGCTGTGGGAATAAATCTGGGAACTATACATTTTTACATTTTATACATCTACAGATTCTTCAATGGACTTTTTTTTAAATAAACAAGCTCTGTTTTGATTGACTTTTCATGCTCTCTCCTTATTTACATTCAAAGTGCAAAAAATTGAATTGGTTTATTTTCATGGTGAATTAGAAAATAGTTGGTGGCTACAGAGCTCCCTATCTGGCCCACAGGCAGGAAGTTGAGTATTAATGCTGTAGGACCTTGACTTACTGCTAAGATATATGACATTAATATTCACTTTATATTCACATTTTATATTTTGTTCCTGAATCTGTACCCCAGGTGGGAAGCTACATCCTTGGCCTCAGGCTCCAGGAAGCCAGCCCTCTTGGTGTCCACCATGGAGGAATCGGATGTGGAACGTGAGCTCAGCTCTCCTCTCCTCTCCTCTCCTCTTTCCATCAACTTCTTTAATGTTTGCCGCAATTCAGCTACAGTAATCCATTTGTTCTGTTTGACACAGTTCTGAATGCCAGGTCATGCATATTTTCCCCCAGATTTTCCAGTTTTGCCGCACAGCTGTCTCAAACTTTGTCTTGCCATTTGTATTTACGCAGTTTCCCTCTTCTTCCTACTCAGATTTGTCACTGTTATGTTGTGTTTGCCCTCTAGAGGTGACCCTGGCGCTACTAGATGCGGCCACTGATAAAGACGCAGAGGTCCAGGAACAGGTCAGAAAGTCTATGTTGACCCTGGGAAAACAGCAGCCAGACAGAGTGTTAGCCATGTGCCAGGACTACCTCCTTAAACACCCAAAGGTAAAAAAAAAACAAAAATAAAACATCAGGAAACATCTCTGTTACACTGTATGTCTAACACTTCTCAGGTTGTCAGCCTCAGGCCTGCATAAGAGAAAGCTGGAACGAATTATCAGTATTCCTGCCACAGACATGATCTTTAGCCCTTGTCAGACATGCCAGATCAGCATGACTACATGAGCATGACTTCCATTAACTCGGCTTTTAGTGCTGGTGTTACTTTTAGTGTCGTGTCAAAACAGCTCACAGTTACATATAGTGAGTGCTGAATGCTGTGACTGGACAGTGCAATCATACTGTATAATAACAGTACAATAATACTGTACACATTAAGTGGAAGCTGCATAGGAAGCCCCCACACATTTGAGTGAAAGATTGGTACTTCTGTGATGGAAATGTCTATAGTTTTGAAAAAGATTTGTCTTGACTTAAGTAACCACTGCTAACAGTAGTCTGCTGCTAATCTGTTAAATCTGATCACATTTAAAAGGCCTCTCAGAGCCCCCAGCATGTGATTTAGTTTCATGTATGTACATGATGTAAAGATTGAAACAAGTAGTGATATGTCTGTTGCTGTCCAAGAGGGTTTTCAGGTTTTACAGATGGCAGTCAAGCAGGATGAATCATTACTGATTCATCTTGTGATTACTTTCTCTCTTATTTTCTCTCTCAATCAATTATCAGTTTACCAATGAAATGTGAGAAAATGTTGAAAATGTCCATCACAGTTCCCTGAAGTTAGACCAACAGTCTAAGCCGAATGTTTTGTCAATTTAACTGATAGAAAATGGACTGTAGTACTATTAAAATTGGGTGCTGAACTGGGTACTAAACTAGACACAAACACACACAGACAGTGAAATTAGAAAAGAGCAGAAGAACAGAATTTCGTTTTAGTTGACAAAGTCAGTCCTGTAGCCTGTTCAACAACTTGTTGTTTTGTTGTTACACATAGAGTAAAATACTGAAAAAGTATCATTATGTACTGGTATCAGTTTAAACGTGAATGGTACCCAACCCCACATACTACTGGGATGTAAGTTGACACACACCTCCCAATACGGTTTCTGCACTGCTAACATTTTACCTGCATGGGCCTATAGAAAAGAATAGAATTAGACTAAAAGGCTTTCTTGAATGTGGCCTCATGTTTAACAGGAATATATTCTTCAAATACAGATCTTTGTTTTTTTCTTGCAGCACATTTGCTCCTCAGAAATCTCACCATAGAGCTCTTTATCAGTTTGTTTCTGTATGATGCTGCAACATGCTATCATACTGTCACAGCCCCTGACTTGATTATCAAATGTTGGCATCATTACACTGAGGAAACATCTTGGGAAACATCAGTGACATAATAGATAGATACAGCGGATGTTTATTGAGATGTGCTGTATCATATTTCACTTTGCCTGTGTAAAAGCCAAATGCAGACATTTTACTGCAGATAAATGAATGCTGTGTCATTTATTAGCATTCCATTGGTTTTGATATTGTAATTTAAATGCGCTCTTTTTGTTATTCGCGTCGTCCTTCTCTTGTCTCGTTTTTCTTCATCTTCCTCACCTCGTCTTTCTCTAGTTGGTCGTGAGCCACAGAGTTGTGATTCTTCAGACTATTGAGCTGATTGTGGGGTGCAGGATAGAGGAGATAAGTTACCCCAGAATAAAGAGTATCATCACCTTGGCCTCAGATGAGATGACGCGATCAAAGGTAAAGTATGAGATTTTAATCATTCATTTTTTTATGTTTCTTGCAAAATGCAGATGATAAATGATGTTTCTTTCTCCATCTTCTTGGTTCACTCAGGAGGTCATCCCTGATTGGCAGCAGGCAGCCAGTAATATCTTGGTTGCTGTGGGTAACAAGCACATCAATGACATCATGGAGGAGATACTAAGCAAGTTTCAGCCAGGGCTCCTTCCTCACTTCTTTGTGGTCCAGACACTAGCAAACCTTTCAGACTCCAACGGTAAGCAAATATTTACACACACAAGTTCAAAGAAACATCACAAGGCCATAAGGAAGCACACACGCACGCACGCACGCACGTACGCACACACACACACACACACACACACACACACACACACACACACACACACACACACAAACAACCGGGAAATCAGAACTTCCTCACAAGGCAGGTATTCAGAGGGGTTGAGAAAGATATAAACCTGTTAAACCCAGCTAAAAACAGTATTTATAGGACAAAAAGTTTGCACAGCACCTACTAGGTTTGTTTAGGAGCAGTGTCAGGTGGTTTGGAAATTGTGAGGTCTGAACCTTCTGCAGTTAGAATTGTTCAGAGCCACTGAACTGATTAACTTATTATAATTGATTAGTGTCAGATATGTAAAGCCTGATTTATTTTCAATCCTATGCCCTGCTGTCAAAGTTGCCCCACCCACTAACTTAAAACCCCCATAAAACTCCAACTCCAAATTCTCCACCCTACAACTAAAGGATTAGGATGTAATTCAAACGTGCAGGAATCGGTGTTGGGGCTGATCAAGGCATTTTTTAACTGATCGGGATTTGCTATGTTGAGCTGTATGGAGCCCTGTCCAATCCTTTTTTTTTCTGTTTTTATTCACAGAACTTTAATGCACAGCAGCACAAGTGCAGCTGTCATCAGCCCTTCAACTCAACATTCGTGACAGCTTGTACAGGGGATGCATTTTTTTTATGACTTATCAGTTTTATTAAAGCCCAACATTAAACATATTTAAGGGTGTGGCCGCTTGAATGACAGGCCGTCTGCGAAGCATCGCCACAGTCTATAAGTTAGATCCACCCCTCATTGCTCCACAGCTCCAGTCTTTTGTCCAGATATGGTCAATTCTGGCTCCAAAAAAAAACCAATAGGGAGATGGCAGTAATGCTGAACTCAAGCTTCAGAACAGCAGTTCACAAACCAATGGGTGATATCATGGAAGCTACATCCATTACTTATGCAGTCTACAGGCAAAACACCACCTGTCATAACAACAGCAAAACACAATAGGAGACTGTTAATTCATGTTATTTACCTAAGTTATGAGTGTGAGTTCTTTGCATTTGTTGTTATCTGTGGCTTATGGTGTTTCAGCACGGGTGGAGTTGAGCCCCTGCTCAGAGACGAGACAATGACAACCACACTCACCACGCCATTGCAAGTGCAACAAAATCCCCACGAGCTAAAAGCTAATGAGTAATTTTTTTTATGTATTTCATTCAAAAGAAGTACAGTCAGCGATAATAAACACAGTTCATTCCGATAACTCAGGCAAAGGCTGCACAGAAGGGTTCCCACAGTCATGGAAAACCTGGAAAAATCTCTTTTTTCCAGGCTCGGAAAAGTCATTGAACTGGTGTTGAGTGTAATGAAATTATTGCAGTAATCTCCCCCAGATACTGCTCCACAGTGTGTAACATAACAGAAATTATATTTTCTAACGTTTGTTGAAGTAGCAGCTCTAATATGGAACAATGTGTGGCAATGTTTTGATTACCATCACAAACGTTCCTGTAAATTTTCCCCATGTTCTGTCTCTTCCATGTGTGCCAATTAGCTAAATTATGTTTGAATAGATTTGAATCTGATATGTTTGAATAAGCGGGCAAGTGGGGCAAGAAAAATAATGTTGTGACTGTGTGATTTGACATGTTTCCATACCTATGCTATGTTTGAATTGCACTACATTTTTGAGATGAAGCAATAAATGAAGCCTTGGGTGTTCACGTGTGTCTCAGCGTGCCAATTTGCACTTTGGTTTTGTTTTAACTCCTCTGAAAGTAGAGGGTTGTAGTTCATGCATTTGCATCTTTATTATGTTAAAAACATAATGAAATAAAATCAAGACTTGATATGAGCAGATACCAAATGATTAAATAATATTAAGAGATTCAGATCTGGATCAGGGTCTAAAAGATCTGCAGCAGCACATTGGTTATTGTGTGTAGTGTTGCATGGATTTATTTTGCATAGCACAGCATGTTTAGAGGAAGTACTGCCAGTTTCAGTAGCTGTAAATCATTAACCAGTACAGAGATACTTTGAAATTCTATTTATTTTGATACATAATTTTAACAAATATATTCTCTATGCTTTTCTTTTTAATGTTTGTACATTATCTCTTAGTATTGGTATTATCAGTGTAAAAAAGCATTACAGTCTATGTCTCCCTGCTTTACAGAGGAATTGTCAAAGAGTAATGTAACTTTAACACTGTATTCGTCCTTGTTCTCTAGTTTATGGAATGGTACCCTTTCTCAATGCTATTCTGGGCACCATGTTGCCCATGTTAAGCATGGCCAAACAAGACAACATGAAGTGGGTCTTCTCTTCTGGTAAGAAGTTCCCTACACGCTTTTTTTTTTAACATTTTCATAATTGTTGAAATATATTAACCCCCCTTCAAACAACACTGCCTGCAGATATTCACCTCCAAAAACATAAAACTTCCTCCCTTTAGTCTTTCTTACACTTTTATTATTGCATTGTTTTCTTCTCTCCATAATTTCCCTCGCCCACTGTTTTTTGTTTCTCTTCCTGCAGCTCTGTGTCATTTCAGCGACAGTATCTTGGAGTACCTCGCCAACCTGGACAAAGCTCCAGACCCCACAGTCAGAAAAGACACGTTCTCTAGTGAAATCTACACTGCTTTCGACATCCTCTTTAATAATTGGTTACAAAGCAGGGAATCTAAGGTAAGGTTGCTCTAGCTCAGTGTTGGGGGTTGAGCAGGAGGGTTTGACATACAGTGGAGAATGAAACCCACAAAGTGGTGTTCAGGTAGTATCTAAAGAAGATGAGTAAATAGAGAAGCTAAGGTAAGACCACTAAATCTTGTCATTTTTAATTTTGGATGCAAAGATGTAGACGGCAGTCTAAAAGGCATACTTTGAAAAAGCACTGCAAGGTAAAACAATAAGTGATGCATAAAAATCACCACAAATTAAAATGTGATCTGTCTATCCAGGCCATGGGAACTGCTACTTACTAGTATAGTAATTATATGTGTTTATATTTGGCCTATTCTTGGCCATGTTAACCAAGTCTAACAAGTTAACTGCAATGTCTTCATGCTGCAGTACAGATGACAGGGAACCTGCTACAACTTAGGCATGGAATATGCCAACAAATATTTCAGTACAAACAAACGCATAAACTCTGGAGAACAGATTATCTCAGGAGGATATCATATAGTGTTTTGTTTTATGGTCCATTTCTCCGAACTGTGATGAGATGGCCACCAAGCAGATTTTGATTTTTGCAGTCCTTTAATGAATGACCTATTAGTTGTGTTATCTTCTGAGTGACAGTTTCTTTTATATGTATTCTTGTGACTAGTGTTTCCCTTTTTACTCCTTCCCTATTTACACACATCTAGATGCTGTTACATTTTTGCGAATCACCTCCTCTCTTTCATAGCTGTAATCTAATGTACTATCTTTCTGTCGTTGTGTGTTCTAGTTGAGGCTAACAGTGGCTGAGGCAGTGGGCTCTATGTGCCATCTGATGGCCAGCGATAAACTGGAGGAGCAGATTCCTAAACTCATTCCTGCCATCCTGTCCCTGTACAAGAAAAACAATGAGCACTATGTGATTAGCAAGGTGGGTATGGGCTGCAGCATGAACGCAGTGGTCTGCCTATTATGGATTTTGTAACTATCACTCTCTCAAAACTGCCTCCTGGCTTTAATAGGGATTAAATTCTTGTTTTCTCCACTCAGAGTCTGTGCCAAGTTCTTGATGCTTCTGTCACCATGGGCAGCAGGGTGCTGGAGACACAGCTGGACAATCTACTTACTGCACTGCATCAACAGGTACACATGAAGTACATACTAAATTTAACACTGTAGATTTAACTGAACCAGGTGACACGTAACATACAGCGGGTAAAATAAATATTGAACACGTCGCCATTTTTCTCAGTAAATATATTTCTAAAGGTGCTATTGTCATGAAATTTTCACCAGATGTCGGTAACAACCCATGCAATCCACGCATGCAAAGAAACCAAAATAAATAATTTCAGAAATTAAAGTTATGTGTAATAAAATGGAATGACACAGGGAAAAAGTATTGAACACGCTTACTGAAATTTATTTAATACTTCGTACAAAAGCCTTTGTTGGTAATGACAGCTTCAAGACGCCTCCTGTATGGAGAAACTAGTCGCATACATTGCTCAGGTGTGATTTTGGCCCATTCTTCCGCACAAACAGTCTTCAAATCTTGAAGTTTCCGTGGGCCTCTTCTGTGAACTCTGATCTTTAGTTCTTTCCACAGATTTTCTATTGGATTCAAGTCAGGTGATTGGCTGGGCCATTCTAGCAGCTTTATTTTCTTTCTCTGAAACCAATTGAGAGTTTCCTTGGCTGTGTGTTTGGGATCATTGTCTTGCTGAAATGTCCACCCTCGTTTCATCTTCATCATCCTGGTAGATGGCAGCAGATTTTTATCAAGAATGTCTCGGTACATTTTTCCATTCATCCTTCCTTCAATTATATGAAGTTTGCCAGTGCCGTATGCTGAAAAACAGCCCCACACCATGATGTTCCCACCTCCAAACTTCACTGTTGGTATGGTGTTTTTGGGGTGATGTGCAGTGCCATTTGACCTCCAAACATGGTGTGTATTATGGCATCCAAAGAGTTCAATTTTGGTCTCATCTGACCAGACTATATTCTCCCAGTATTTCACAGGCTTGTCTAAATGTTGTGCAGCAAACTTTAAACGTGCTTCAACATGCTTTTTCTTCAGCAATGGAGTCTTGCGTGGTGAGCGTGCATACAGGCCATGG